ACCGCTACTCAGACGTGCTTATTTAGGAGTATGCTGGCTAATTTTATGTCAACTTGACACAGGCTAGGGTCATCTGAGAGGAGGGAACCCCAATTGAGAAACTGTCTCCATAAAATCCAGCTGTAGGTGAGCCTGAAGGGCATTTTCTCAATTAGTTATTGATGGGGAGGGCCCAGCGCATTGTGGATGGTGTCATCTGTGGACTGGCGGTCCTGGGTTCTGTAAGGAAGCAGGCTGAGCGAGCCATGATGAGCAAGCCAATAAGCAGCACCCCTCCATGGCCTCTGCATCAGCTCCAGGATCCTGCCCTGCGTGAATTCCTGTCCTGACTTTTTTCAGTGATGGACCATGGTGTGGAAATGTAAACCAAATAAGCCTTTTCCTCCCCAGCTTGTTTTTGGTCCTGGTGTTTCATCGAAGAAATAGTAACCCTAACTAAGACCAGGAGATAACAGAACCACAACCCTCTTCTGACGTTCTCAGAACCGCTGCCCCAGTTCCTGTCTCCTGTTCTCATCAAAAGCTGTCCATTCACACAGATGCACACCGACCTCTGGTCATGTTCCTACTGAACAGCCGGTAAAAAACAAGGCAAGAACCTAAGTCAAGCCTCCCAGCCCAAGCTTTCAATCACGTCTTTGCACTTTGCACACCCACTGTACTCTAACGGGAGACGAGGCTATGGACAGGTACGCTGTGAGTAAAAAAACAGGAACTTGTTTCCCATGATCACAGCCCTGCCTGCAACAACAGATGTCTACAACCCCAACAAAAAAGCGAATAGAGAGAAGAGCATGCCATCCCCGCCCTCACGGGCCCACAGACACTGTAGATGGTGGCGGTGCCCTAGGAAAGGGCTTTCCCAGTTCTGACCTGTCACAAACCCCCAGCAGGCCATGCGCCAGGAGTCCAGGACTTAAGCCGCAGCAGAGCGCTGATGAGAAAGTAACCGGTGGGTGCCCAAGTCATGCGAGCAGCTGGCTTGGCTGCAGCAGCCCAGGCTTTGGAATTTAAGGTCAGTAAAGTCCCAGACCTCTGCACTTGAGTCCCTCTTAAAATAAACAAAGGAAACTCCAGCTGAGTTACAGACTCCAAGAAATGAGAATGTCTGCACTGCTCACTGCGGATGTGAGGAAAAGAAAGCAACCCTGGGGAACGCCTATGTGCCAATCCCTACTCTGACATAACTTCAGCAGGATACAGAAGAGACTCCTGGGAAATATGGCAGGGAGGCTGGGTGAGCATTTTGCTCCAAACACCTGGGCCAGGACCCAGGCACAGGACATCGAGGCTTCTACTGCCCTGCCATCTCACCTGGGGCTTTCAGGAAAGAGCAATACGCGCTCCCGAGAGAGTGGTCGCCCCCAGCCAAACAGACATCTTCAGAGGTTGTAACTGGCCTGGCAGGGATGAAGATATTTCAAAGACACACCTGTGCCCCTCACTCTAGCTGTCAGACTGTTCACACAATGGACTCCTCCGGGAAACTGGAATTACCCAGAAGTCTCAAGCTGGAAAAACAGAATGCCTAGGCCAGTCAGAGGAGAAACTTTCCTACCAGGAAGAGATGTACAACCTGCCAGATGACCTACAGAAGACAACCATAGGTCAATGGGGTCAGGGCCACAAACTGCCGGAACTGCTTTGGCAAACATAACTCTGGCCGTGCCATTAAACTGTAACCTCACTTCAGGACCCTGGAGAAAGTCGTGGGGGTCGGGGGACATCAATGGATCTCTTTGTCCCTCCTCCCAAGTATGATCAAGGTGAGTGCATCTTCTTTTTCTACTTTTCACTACTAAATTAGCTATTTTAATTGGTTTGTTGAGGGCAGATGCTGAACATGGCTTATTGGAGCACAGGCTGTGACCCTAAGTCTGTAACAGTTGGCTGTGGGGATTCCCGGCCACTCTGAGCGGTGAGAAACTACCATCCTCCACCACATTCTAACTAAGAAACACACTGCAGGCCTAGCGTGGTACACACCTATTGTTGGTAAACCAAGAACCACCCACATTCCAGAACCAGATGCTCCCCCAGATGGCCTTCAGCCACTCAGCGCCAGAAGCCGCGTCATCACCAGGCACAGGATGTGACACATCTCCACTGTGACCCCGAGTCTGGTCCCCTTCATAAGGCCTGCATCTTCGCTTTCACAAAAGCTTCTCTTCCTCTTGCATCCTCTGTCAGGTGGCCTTTCACACTCCCCCTCCCCCTCCCCCAGTAAATCTCTTTTATGAGTCTATTGTGTGGTGTGATCTTTGTGACATTCTTTGACCCTCCAATCACCCAGGATGCAGAGGCAGCGGATCTCTGTGAGTTCAAGGCCAGCCTGTTCTACACAGCAAGTTCCAGGCCAGCCAGGGCTGCATAGTGAGACTCTCTCAAAAACCAGAAAATAAAAGAAAAACACTGCAATTACAATCCAGGACATGCCCAAAAGGGGTTGGGCCTGGGAGGTGTCCTTCCGGGTCCAATTGTCACATATATTAACATTTTGACAATAGTGGGACCCTGTTGCACACATTGTCTCATAATCTGCTTAATTTCACAATTTCCCATGGCAAAAAGCCACACCCCATTTACTGATAATTGAATTAATGACCATTGACTTGCATTAATAATAACTGAACAATACCAACGGGCAGTGGTGGCACATGCATTTAATCCCAGCACTGGAGAGGCAGAGGCTGGAGGATCTCTGTGAGTTTGAGGCCAGCCTGGTCTACAGAGGGCCTAAGGTTGGATATTTAAGTCAATCTTGCATTTTTTACTATCCCAATGCTGTACGACTATTCTTGAATACATTATTTTCTCACATGTGTGATTTTTTTTTTCATAATACTCAGGATAAATTCCCAGAATGCAGCCCTGAAGTTTAACTGGTTACGAAGCCACTTTGTAGAGGGGCTACACTGACCAGGCTCCTTTAAAGGCCTAACACTGAGTCTAAGAGCCAAGGCTTGAACATCAGGAATAGAGGAGGCACCCGTCCCCACATTCTATTCATCATCTGGTGGCTTTGGCCTCTTACGTGGGTTAATTCTTTCATTACCTTATTCACCCACAAAGGAAACAAACTAGAATTAAAGTCTGTGGTGGTCCTGGCAGGGTCTCAGGTCCCTTTGGTACTGGGGCCTCTGGGAACTGCTGAGGCAGTGAGTATGTCCATGTGCAGGTCTGCATGCATATGCATTCATGTGCATGAGGGGAGGGGGCAGCTCCCGGCTGGAGGGGTTGCATGTGATACCACATTGAAGGGTCTCTTGCCTGGGGGTCTGGTTTGAAAAGTGTGCTGATCTGCCACGCCCCTTAAGTGACTGAGAAGCCCAGATATTGCATCTCATGTGAATCCTGAGTCTGTTTCCATTTGCATGCCACCCTGCCACACTAAGCACTGTGTGAAGTTAGGAAAGTCTGTTGGCATACATCATGAAACTGTTGTCATTGAGATGAAGCCTAATTAAATTAAACCACTTGTTTTTCAAATAGAGCATGCCTTATTGAGAGAACATCTGCTCCCTGCAAACACTCTGCAGCATTTGTTATGGGTGCCTGGAGGGCTCCTCAAGTGGAATTCTCCGAAATTCTGTATTCTGCTGACATCTAGTGGACCTAAAAATAGCTTCCAAACATGAAAATAAGAGAACAAGGTTCACAGGCTGACCTCGGGCATTGCCCGAAACGGGGACGGCCTACCACTGTAAAGTCAACACTTGTTTTACAAGCAAAAGAACCTCAGCACATTTTTCCTATTTTGTGTGTGTATATGTGTATACATATTTGTGTGTGCACACGTGTGTGCGTGTGCATGTGGAGGCCAGAGGTCAACCTCAGACGTCTTCCGCGGGTGTCTGTACCTTCCTTTCTTTTCTTTTCTTTTCTTTTTTTTAATTATTTTATTTTTGAGGCAGAGTCTTTCACTAAAGCTGGATGTCACTGATTCTGCTAGGCTGGCTCTGTCTCTACCACCCCCAACCCTGCCAGTGTTGGGGTTACAGACAAGCACTTCATTATTTTTTAGTCCACTACTTAGGGCAAAAGTAAGACTTAAAAATCCACTCTTCTCTATTAGATCAGCGCCGTATGCACACCATGAACTGTGACATAACAGAGTCAGGAATAATTAATGAAAAGAAGAGGCCATGAATTTGAAAGAGAGCAAGGAGAGGTAGATGGGAGGGTTTGGAGGGAGGAAAGCAAAGAGGGAAATGATGTAATTAAATTATAATCTCAGAAAATTAAAGAAGTAATTTTTAAATAAAAAACCTGAAAAGACCGTGAATTGTCCGCCATACACTCTCTCTGCTTCCTGCTCGTAGACCACGATGTGAACGCTCAGCTTTGCCTCCGCCCTGTGCAGCCACCACGGACCCTAAGCTTCTGGAACTGTGAACCCCAAATAAACCCTTCCTTCTGTAGGCTGCTTTGATCCTGGTGCCTTATCACAGCAACAGAAAAGTCACTAATACACTGGTCCTATTCTTAACTATTCCGTAAGTAGAAAATAATTTAAAATAACTCCCAAGAATATCTGCAGTGATCCTTAGATCTAAGACAAAGGTAAATTAAAATGGTATTGTAACTGTGTGTCTCTAATAATTTAATATCATATTAGCAACAATATTCAAGATTTATCTTACTATAGTTGGTAGTTGGTTTCTTTTTTTTTTTTTTTTTTTTTTGGTTTTTCGAGACAGGGTTTCTCTGTGTAGCTTTGCGCCTTTCCTGGAACTCACTTGGTAGCCCAGGCTGGCCTCGAACTCACAAAGATCCGCCTGGCTCTGCCTCCCGAGTGCTGGGATTAAAGGCGTGCGCCACCGCCGCCGCCGCCGCCGCCGCCACCCGGCTTATCTTACTATAAAATCACTGAATCTCAAGGTTGGAAGAGAACTAAAAGACCAGACAACTCAGGCACACATCCAAGTTCTCTGGTGCAGTATAATCATGTTTAAAGCGCGCGTGTACATCATGAGTCAGGTACAGAGAGGTTGTTATACCTTAAGCTGCTGGTGATCTCCACCCAGCCCAGTTTCCATGACACGTGAAGCAGAAGTCCACCGAGGAAGGTCTGCCACCTGGAAGGATGAATGCCCAGATGAGTTACTCCAGGCCTACAGGGTCCAACTCAGCCAGCCAGGACAGATCTCCAACCCTTCTACACCTCTCTTCTCCCATTTTCCAGCTGTCCTCTCACATTTCCCCATCTCTGTTCCTTCGAATCCAGCTCTCAATGAGTGCTGACATTCTTACACACCTCTAGACATTTCCTGAACCTCACTCATAGCCATCAATATGGATGACTTCCAGATCCCCGTTCTCATCTAGATACTTCTACCCTGAAATTCCATAGCCTCCCAATTATGTCACATGCAAAATGCTATCTTAGACATGCCCCAACCCTGGGCATCATCCTCCTGCCTTTAGTCAGCCAGCTGAGATGTCACTCAGCCTTCACCTAGCACTTCCTCAGACTCCGCTTCGCGAGTCATTGGCAAAATCCTCATGATTGTATTTATCTTAACCACGAGAAAGGGCTCTGTGGTTAAGAGTATCCCCTTCTCTCCTGAGGGAGAGAGGACTCTGTGGTTAAGAGTATCCCCTTCTCTCCTGAGGGAGAGAGGACTCTGTGGTTAAGAGTATTCCCTTCTCTCCTGAGGGCCCACGTTCAGATCCCAGCACCAATGTTGAGTGGCTCACAGACCTGCCTGTAACTCCAGTTCCAGGAGACCCAATGGTCTCCTCAGTCAATGCACACCCATGGCACACACACTTATAAAAATAAGTCTTTAAATAAAAAGGGAGGGGGTTGTGAGTTCAAAGGCATCTCCTGGATATGATAGAGAGATGATAATTCCAAATATTCTCTTTAGTGATGTTTCTTATCCTTATACTGGGGCTCCAGGTAATATTCAGCTTCGAGGGCTACCACAAATGCAGCAAATCCCCACTGATCCCTTTAAATAACGCACCCATAAAGGAGCTACTGCTGGCGAAGCTACCCATATGTCTCGAAGATTCATGGTGGGCCCTTGGCTCCCTCAGTCCTCATGCAGCTAACCTCTTCGTGACAGTTTCTAGTACTGTCCCTGATATTTTCCACTGTCTGAATCCAGATGTTCTAATTTATCATGATCACAGCCATGTCACATCCAGGTTCAGGGTCACATGTGACAGTAATCTGATCTCCAGGACACTCTCAGTGTTTAGTCACCTTTATGTTATAGATGACTCATTCATATACTTTAAGACTCTATTTTTAGTCACAAATGACATGAGACACCTCACGTCAGGAATGACTGTAACATACTTATGTGTTGTGATACTATACTGAGAACGAGAACCCTGACCTCCAGGACAAAGTCTCTCCTGTGTGACTCAAAGCCTTCTTGACTTGGGCCATCCCTCCCCAGGACAAACTCTCTCTCCCTGCCTTGGGGTTTCTCAAGGCACACAGCCTGCAACCTCGAAATATGCCAGGTCATTTCCTACTTCTTGGAATTGTGGGTACTGCCCCATTACTCACGATATCCCTCCTTTTCCTCATGCATCAGGAGACAACTGGTCAGTAGTAAGAACCACTGTTTCACTGCCCAGCCAAGAACAGAACAGCTAGTTCATGCCATGGTCAGCCTGATCTGGAGCAGAGGTCTGAACCCAGTCAATTTCCCACACCCCACCCCCAGACATGTAATAATGCTTGAAGACTCCCTCCCTTCCTTCCTTCCTTCCTTCCTTCCTTCCTTCCTTCCTTCCTTCCTTCCTTCCTTCCTTCCTTTTCTTTCGTTTTTCAAGACAGAGTTTTTCTGTGTAGCCCTGGTTATCCTGGAACTCACTCTGTAGATCAGGTTGGCCTCAAACTCACAGAGATCCACCTGCCTCTGCCTCCTGAGTGCTGGGATTAAAGGCGTGCACCACTAACTCCCAGCCTATATTTACATTTGTGTTTATATTTCATATATTTTTATTTTATATGTCTGTGCATCATGTCTGCAGTGTCTGTGGAGATAAGACACAGGTGTAGAATCCTCTGGAACTGGAGTTATAGACAGTTATGAACTACCATGTAGGTGCCAGGAACTGAACCTTGGTCTTTCATAAGAGCAGTGAGTGCAGCCGGGCAGTGGTGGTGCACGCCTTTAATCCCAGCACTTGGGAGGCAGAGGCAGGTGGATCCCTGAGTTCAAAGTCAGGCTGATCTATAGAGTGAGTTCCAAGACAGCCTGGGCTACACAGAGAAACCCTAAAAACAACAACAACAAACAAACAAACAGACAAAAAACGTGGTAAAATAGTTCAGCAGGTAAAGGGACTTGCCACCAAACCTGAGGACCTGAGTTTGGTTCCCAGGCCCCACATGGTAGGAGAGAACCAAACCCTGGAAGTCATCCTCTGACCTCTACCCATTAACTGTGGCACATGTACACACAGAAATAAACAGGTAAATAAATAAATACAAATAAATGTAAAATGAAAGAAAAGGCCAGTGACTACTCTTAACCACAGAGCCTTTCCTCCAACCCCCACACATACTTTTAAAAAAGAAGCATGAGGGATGTAGTCTATGAGTATTTAAATGGCATAATGCTTAAAAAAATTCAACCCTAGCTCTTTTCTCTAAAAAAATTAACAAAAGCATACCCAAAAATAGACCATAGAAAACTAACTATATATTGTTTTAAGGATCCCAAGGCAAAAGGAAGAATTAACAATAAATGGGCATATCAAAAGTTGTTTACTGAGGGAAGGGCAGCTTTCTCAGGGATTATATGCTTAAGTAAACTGAGGATGGTTAGGAGCTTTATCAAACATATATGGGTAGCTAGCTACATGATATCTTCATGGAGTAAAATAATCATAAATGGAAATGCAAAATGGAAGTGATCACAACAGAAAGATCATGTTTATCCATAAAGACAAAGCATTTAAGTAATAAAATAATTGGAAATAAATTAAAAGGCTAAAAAACAAATTGCAAAATTTTTTCCAATGAACATGATGGTCAAGAGGTAGTACCCTTTTATTTTTTTCTTTTCTTTTCTTTTATGTGTGTGTGTGTGTGTGTGTGTGTGTGTGTGTGTGTGTGTGTGTGTGTGTGTGTACCAAAGGGGACCAGAAGAGGGCATCAGATACCTGGACTTGAAGTTACAAACAGTCTCAGGCTGCCTGATGTGGATGCTGGGAGCTGAGTTCTGGTCCTTGCACGCACTCTGGACACTCAGTCAGCTTCTCCAGCTCTAGTGATTATACCACCAAAATATAAAAAATGTACTAAAATGTACTAAATGGTACCGGTGGCTCAGGCCTGAGATCCTGGCTACTGGGAATGCTGAGGTAAGAAGATCACAAGTTCAAAGCTTGCCTGAGCTACAGAGTGAGTTTAAAGCCAGCCTGAGTAACCTTGAAAAGCTTTGTCTTAAAAACGAAATGTTAAGGGCTGGTGATATAGCTGAGTAGTAGAGAGCATCTCCAGCAAGTGTGGATCCTAGGCCCAATCTCCTGTACCAAAACCAGAATGCACCAAATTAATTAAAAAATGCTACAACCTCAGTGAAAATAAGTGGGTAAAAGGCACAAATAGAGAATTCATTGAAAATAAATAGTAAGCACAAGGAAATTATCTGACTATGTACTGTTACTTGCTCATGAAATTTGGAGAATGGAAAAATAAGAGACATAGTTTGGATATGGGTATTATAGAAACGTTCATATGCATGCAGGGTTAAAAGGTAAACTGGGGCTGGAGAGATGGCTCAGTGGTTAGGAGCACTGGTTATTTTCTTGGGGTTCAGTTCCCAGAACCCACATGGCAGCTCACTCTATAACTCTAGCTCCAGGAGATCCGATGCCCTCTTCTGAACTCTGGGGGCAACAAGTACGTATTATACATACATACATACATATAGGCAAAACATTCATACACATAAAACAAATCTTTAAAGAAAAAGAAACTGGTAAAATATTTTTTAAAAATGATTTATTGCCAGGCATGGTGGCCCATGCTTTTAATTCCAGTACTTGAGAGGCAGTGGCAGGCAGGCAAACTCTGAGTTAGAGGCTAACGTGGTCTACATAGTGAGTTCCAGGACAGCCATCCAGAACTATGTAGAGAGACTCTGTCTCAAAAAAAATAATGAGAGAGAGAGAGAGAGAGAGAGAGAGAGAGAGAGAGAGAGAGAGAGAACCAGCCAAAGAAGTTCTTTTACCTAATTTCTTAAGTGGAGTATCCAAGAAGTCATTCCAAGTTTGACAGGTTCAAACACAAAAATGTCTGAGGCTTTTATGCTTCCTAAGTGGGACATGATTGAGTGCCTACTGAAGTGAAAAATTCAACAGATCCACTGTACCTGGCGTAGATCCTGGAGTAATGGCACCAAGGCTTTGAAGCAACTTTTTGTAAAGTCAGTGATTGCTATCTGAGCTGCTCTTTTGAAGGATTCACAGAGCCTCTGCAGGGCTTAGCCTCCAGACATACCCGGCAAACCAGGAAGCTCCCATGTGGCTGAGAACTGCTTAGGTAATGGGTCCTTCAAACACCTCTAGATACGTTTTGGTATCTTTTGTATAACAATAAAGAGACTTTTGCAAAGCCATGAGGCAGTCACTCCTTCAGAGGCTCATTCTGCTGCTGCTGCTGTTGCTGTTAAGCCACTGAACATGCCAAAGTGACTCTCTGTCTTGCACTAATCAGAGTAACACAGAACACCAACAGCAGACTAACAAAACGGATAAACTACAGTGTCTCTAGCTGATGATGAACCTATGTGTCCAGCTGGAGCCTCTGGCTTGCCCCTGTAAGGCCAGGAAAGCCTCATTCCTCTCTCTCCAAACCCCGCCTGCTCAGAGAGTTAGTTCTACATTTGCACCAGCTGCCCAAATCCCAGCCTAAGCTCTCAGCTTCTGAGAATACTCAGGCACAAACCCAGCTGTGGCAAACACATCATCACCCCTTGCCTACAATCTATAAAACTTTCCTGCTCTGGCCTGGGTGCACAACTTCTCTGGCCTCGTTCTCTAAGGCCGGTGAACCTGCCCTGGAGTTTATACCTTTAATTTGGCTTGACCGAGCTTGGGGGGTGGGGGTAAGAAAACCTATTACTATGTAGTTCCTAAAAGGGTTTCAAAGAACATTGTAAGACACTGTTTGAACATTTCCTACCAATGTGTATGAAGGTAGTTAAAGAGCTTTGCCCTGGGAGCTAGAGAGATGGCTCAGTGATTAAGAGTACATGCTGCTTTTGCAGAGGACTAGAATTCAATTCCCAGCATCCATGTCAGATAGCTTACAACTACCTGTAACTCCACGCCCTCTTCTGGCCTCCATGGGCACTTCATTCATGTGGCATATACAATACACACACACACACACACACACACACACACACACAAACACCACAAATTTTAAGAAACAAAATCTGGGGAAAAAAAACAATACTCACCCTTGGAATAACGTAGGGTAGGTAAATTTCAGGACAGACAGGACATACTGAAAAACAAGTACCAGGTTAATGGACATTTTGAATGACAGCGAATTGATAGAGCATATAATAATATGCCTATTGAAGAAATCTGAGTGTGTCACATAAAGGCATTCATCCCCCAAGTCTTGAATGGGCAAAAGAATGGCCTTCCAAGTTATATTGAAGAGAACAGCTAGGGTAAATTTATAGTTTTGTTTTGTTATTGTTTGCTTGTTTGTTCTTGAAACAGGATCTTGTCTGTAACCCAGCCTAGCCTAGAACTTGCTATGTGACCCAGGATCCAGGTAATCCTCTGGCCTTGGCCTCCTAAGTACTGGAATTGCAGGTATGTTCCACCCTACCCTAATTCAATTTGTATTTATACTCTTTCTTTTTTAATTCCTTGTCATGTATAATTTGTTGATATAATGTATGTATGTATACACGCTCACATGTGTGATTGTGGGCACAGGCATAGCATGTGTGGAGGTCAGAGGACAACCTTAGATGCTCTGCCTTCCACCTTGCTTGAGACAGGCCTCTTCTCAGTCACCATTGCACACGCCAGACACACACCATTATGTCAGGCTTTTAGGTGGGTTCTAGGATCTGAACTCAGGTCCTCACACTTGAGAGGCAAGCACTTTTACCTGAGCATCTTCTCCAGCCTTTCTATTAAGTCTTTAGTCAGATTTATAGACCTTTATAATGGAGGAATTGTGTTTTGTCTTTGGAGATATCTTTTTCTATTATGAACACTTTTAAGTTTATTTATTGTCTAAAGCCATTAAATAGGAAAGCACTCTTAATTCTCTACATTATCTTTAAAAAAAAAAAAATGCAGCTAAGCCAGGTGCAGTGGCGCAGGCCTTCAGTCCCAGCACTCAGAGGCAGATGCAGGTGGATCTCTGTGAAGTCAAGGTCAGCCTGGTCTACAGAGCTAGCTCCAGGCCCCTGGAGATACATAGTGAGACCCTGTCCCCAAAAAAAAGGGGGAGAGGAAGGGAGGAGGAAGCAAGGAAGAAAGGAAGGGATTAAATAAACAAAAGAGTCAATGGTTTTGAGGAAGTTCACAGAAGTATCTTCCCCAGCCTACCCAAAACTCTCCCTGAATAAGCTCCTAAATGTTACAACTATGGATGATTTCCTGTGCTGGATAATTTCACTTGCATCATTCAACATGTTGCACCCTACCTTTTCCTGGTGCTTCTATTCTGAACCGAGAAAGGATGAAGTGAGACCTGGACATGTTCTGGAACACCCGGAACAACCTTACTATGATATCAGTATTTACTCAATGTATCGTCTGCTTAGCTTTGGTCCACAAACTGAGGGAGATTGAAGATACTGAAGCTCAGGCATGGGGGTGTGGTCAGTGGCTGAGCATATGGGGATGGGGTGTGGTCAGTGGCTGAGCATATGGGGATGGGGTGTGGTCAGTGGCTGAGCATATGGGGATGGGGTGTGGTCAGTGGCTGAGCATATGTCTAACATATGTGAAGCCCTGGATTTCATTTGTGTTAGTACCACAAAATAAAGCAAAGTGCTGAAGCTCTCATCTCACTTTTATTAAAGAGGTAGAGGCAGGCAGATCTCTGAGTTTGAGGCCAGCCTGGTCTACATAGTGAGTTCCAGGACAGCCAGGGCTATACAGAGAAACCTTGTCTCAAAAAAAAAAAAAAAGAAAGAAAGAAAGAAGGAAGGAAGGAAGGAAGGAAGGAAGGAAGGAAGGAAGGAAGAAGAAAGAAAGAAAGAAAGAAAGAAAGAAAGAAAGAAAGAAAGAAAGAAAGAAAGAAAGAAAGAAAGAAAGAAAGAAAGAAAAGAAAGAAATCTATTGGCTGGTAAATGGCTCAGAGGTTAAGAGTGCTTACAGATCTCGAAAAGACCCCAGTTAGATTCCCAGCATCCACACGGGTTGGCTCACAACCACCTTTAACTCCCTCTCTAGGAGCCACAATGCCTCTAGCCTGCCTCCTCAGGCACCTGTACTCACATGCACATACCCACACACAGACACACGCATACATGTAATTAAAAATAAATATTTTTAAAAGGAAATCTATGACAAATTGAATGTTAGCTCTAAAAATGTCTCTGAGCTAAGTATAGTGTTGCTTGACTATAATTCCAGCACTCAGGAGGCAGAAGGAAGATGCGGAGCCAGCCTTGATTACACAGCAAGGCCCTGTGGGGGTTGGGGGTGGGGGGCTGATGAGATACCTAACGACCAGAGTTCAATCTGAACCGACTCCTGCAAGATGTCCTCTGACCTCCACACGTGCCCCATGGTAGGTACACCCCCACACATACACACACTAAATAAATAAATAAAGGCTGGAGAGATGGCTCAGCAGGAACACTGGCTGCTCTTCCAGAGGATCTGAGTGCACGATGGCTCACAACCCTCTGTGACTCCAGTTCCAGAAATCTAAGGCAGTCTGGGCTCTGCAGGCACAGATAAACACGCAGGCAAAACAACCATACGCATAAAATAAAAATAAATAAATCTTTAAAAAATAAATAATTAATAATAGCCGGGCGTGGTGGCCACACCTACAAATCCCACAGAACTTGGGAGGCAGAGGCAGGAAGATCTTGAACTCAAGGCAACGTCTCACTCCTCTCAAATAGGAGTTCCTGCCTCTCAAGATTTTTAAACCTTTGGATATAGCGGAAAAACTTGAAATGGAATAAAGACTAAATGAATCAGTGGGGTAAGGGCTGATAAATTCATCTTTTCCACCGCTTATGGAACTTTGGGTCCTGGGGCAGAAGGCTGTAGATGGTGGGGCAGAATGTGTCTGATCCCTTCAACGCTTCCTTCCCTGAGGGAAGAGGGGCGACTGCTTTCTGTTTGTTTGCGTATATATGTATTTATTTACTTGAGACAGGGTTTCAAGTATCCCACGCTGGCCTCAAACTGGCGAGGTAGCTGAGGATGACCTTGAAGCCCGCATCCTCCTGCCTCCACCTTCCAAGGACTGAGAATGTAGGTGAGTCCCGGGGATGCAGCCGGAGGCTTTGTGCATGCAGGGCCACATCCTCCTCTTGAAGATAGTCCTCCGAGTCCCGGGAGTTCCGGGGGAGTGGACTCGGAGTCGGTTTCCTCGCGGTCCCCATGCGGACCAGCCAGCCCGGGACAGCTCCGGTGACGTGGACCGCACGGCTCGCAGCCCACGCGCAGTCGCCCGCACGCTCACCTTGTTCGTGAGGTGAGAAGCCAGGTAGCAGATGCAAAAGGTGAGGCCGAGCAGGGACCGCCTCCCGATCATCTGGCGGCTCGCTCGGCTTCCCGAAGAGGCGGCGGCCCCCACCGGAGCCCACCCGGCCGCCTCCGACTCCGCCGCCCGGCCACGGGGCTCCGCTCCGCCAATCAGCGAGCCGCTCGCCCGGGGGCCCGCCTCCTTAAAGGGGCCGCTCCTGCTGGGGAGCACCGCTGCGCTGCTGGCCCGGAGTCCCGGGGTGGCGAGACCTGGGTCCTCTCTGGCTGCCGGTGGTAGAAACCGATGGAAGAGAAAGTAAGCAGGTTACAGAAGACGTCACAACATTCCTTTATGGTTTTTATGGTTTGAAAAAAAAAATAGCCATAACCATTACTGAATGACTGGATGAAAATGCTCAAGGCTTTAGCGAATTTTTCCTATTTTCTACGTTGCAAAAACACAAATAAATTAGCCACAATAGAAGTTAATCTTAAAAGGGCTAGAGAGATGGTTCAGTGGTTAAGAGTGCATACCGCTCTTGCGGAGGACTGGAGTTGGTATCCAGCATCCACCTCAGGGAACCCCAGCTCCAGAGGCTCCCCTCTGCACTCTCTGGGCACCAACACTCAACACGTGCACAAGAACAAAAGTACATTCTGAAGTAAGATATGCACATAATCAAAATTAAAATAAATCGCCGAGCAGTGGTGGCGCACGCCTTAATACCAGCACTCGAGAGGCAGAGCCAGGCAGATCTCTGTGAGTTTGAGGCCAGCCTGGTCTACAGAGTGAGATCCAGGACAGGCACCAAAGCTACACAGAGAAACCCTGTCTCAAAAAACCAAAAATAACATAAAATAAATAAACCTAAAAAAATTTTTTAAAACGAGGCTGAAGGGATTAGAATGACTATGATTGTAAGAAAAGTCATCCCATTGTGCTGAAATATCTATAAAAACAATTTATCTGTACATTGTGCCAGAGTCCTGTAATCTCAGCAGTGGGATAAGGACAAAGGCGGTTTGGAAGTAAATTCAAAGTTCACCTGGGCTGCTAAGGGGATCCAAGGCCAGTCTGGGCTATGTGAGGCTTTGGGCCCAGACAGGAAGGGAGACTGTCTTTTCCGAAGTAAAATTTTAAACATAGCCTGGGTTGCCTGGACAGGAAGTTAACCCAGGTGCCCGCAAACAGTCGGAAATGAACAAAGAACACGCTGGTGATTTGCATGGGTAATAAAAGGGGCAGGTGGGCAGGAGAGATGGTTCAGCAGGTAAGGGCACCTGCTGCCAAGACTGACTACTTGAATTCCAGAAGAAATAAGAAGAAAACAAAGAAAGGAGATGAAAGTGTGAAGGCGATGTTGCAGGTGTCCAGGAGGAGTGGGAAGAATAGTTAGGGAAGGATGTAACTAAAATACACTGCAGACATAGGAAATTTTCAAAGAATAAATAAGAAGTCTTTCAAATTTTGTTGCTATTGTATTAGGTTAGTGTTGTCAACTTGACATAATCCAGCGTCCAGCGTCGCTTGGGGGATGGGTGGATGAACTGCGGGGAGGGGGAAGCCACTGCAAACGGGGCCCTGACTGTGTGCATGGAGAAAGCGGGCTGAGGAGGGAGGAGTGCCCACTCACTGTCCTCCCTCATGTGACAGCTGCTTCACTGTCCTGTGGCCTTGACTTTACCACCAGGATGGGCTGTACCCTTGACTGTGAGGAGAATGAACCTTCCTCCTCTCCATTGCCTTCTCAAGGTGTCTTATCACAGTGGCAGGAAAAAGAAACTCAGACATAAGTTTGTACATTTTTCCTAAAGATACAGGAGGGTTCAAATATGTGATTATAATATTTTGTTACTTAATTTTATTTTAAAGTTCAAAAATTTTAAAAACCCAGAATGTGGACCTGGCTTCTGACCAAATGCAAAAATGCCAGCTAAATATTTATAAACAAATGCTGCGAAAGATTATTGTTGGGCTGGAGAGATGGATCAATGGTTAAGAGCACTGGCTGCTCTCCCAGAGGTCCTGAGTTCAATTCCCAGCACCCGCATGGTGGCTCACAACCATCTACAGTGGGATCTAATGCCCTCTTCTGGTAATAATGTTGTATGTGAAGATAGAACACTCATACATAAAATTAAAAAAAAATCTTAAAAAAAAATTATTGTTCCCAAACACACCCAGAAATTCTAATCAAGTGAAAACAGAGAAGAAACCCAGAAAGTATGACAGGTAAGAAAGTTTCTATCGAAGGACGTGGTGGTCCCTTATAAAAGGAGGCAGAGCCTTTTGTACCATCCACCCGATCCCAAATTACCACACAGAGGCTTATATTAATCATAAATGTTTGGTCGATGGTTCAGGCTTACTAACTAGCTCTTACATTTAAATCCACCCATTTCTATTAATCTATGTATTACCACGTGGTCCATGGCTTACTAGTCCCCTGGTATCTTGCTTCTTTGGCCGCTCCAGCGTCTCCCTGACTCTGCCCCCTCCATCCCAGTCATTTGTTTAACCTTATCCTGCCTTGCCATTGGCCAGAACAGTTTATTATCAACCAGTGAGAGAAATGCATATTCACAGCTTACAGAAGGATCATCCCACAGCAATCCCTTTAGTACCAGCACTTGGGAAGGCAGAGGCAAGCAGATCTCTAAGTTCAAGGCCAGCCTGGTTTACAGAGTGAGTTCCAGGACAGCCAAGGCAACACAGAGAAACCCTGTCTTAAAAAAACAAACTAAAAAAGAAGACTGTGTCTTAGTTCAGGTTTCTATTGCTGTGGAGAGACATCATGACCACAGCAACTCTTATAAAGAAAACATTTCATTTTGGTGGCTTGCTTACAGTTTCAGAGGTTCCGTCCATTATCATTATGTTGGGGAGCATGTCAGCATGCAGGCCGACATGGTGCTGGAGTAGTAGCTGAGAGTCCTACATCTTGCAGGCAACAAGAAGTCAACTGAGACATTGAGTGGTATCCTGAACATAGGAAATCTCAAAGCCCGCCCCCACAGTGACACACTTCCTGTAACACAGCCATACCCACTCCAACAAAGCCATACCTCCTAATAGTGCCACTCCCTGAGATTATGGGGGCCAATTACATTCAAACTACCACAGCTGAGAATGGAAGTTGTTAATAGCCTTGTGACCTCTGCATTATTTGTATGGCCAGGCTACACCTGGCTCCCCATAGACTTTTACAAACAGGACCAAGGGCGGTTAATAGCCTAGTGACATTTATGCTATCTGTATGATGGAGACTACACCACATCCTCCCCCGGGCTCTCAAGATGACATACATAGTCTATATATAGAGGCCATCCTTACAGAAGAGGTGACATGAACTTTGAAACGAGTCTCGGTGTCATTGTGCCTTAAGATTTATTGTTCAGACAGGATTGTGTTACACCTGGAAACTTTTTTCTAAGTTGTACTGTACTTCAATATGCCTAAAATAAGCTGTCCAATGTAAGACTCTAGACGTTTGAGCCGCACCAGCTACTGAGTCAAGCTGAACTGGATTTTCTTCTGGCTTTACATGGATCATTACTCTGCCAGGCCTGGGATTTGCAGAGATCCACGGTTCATACAATTGAAAAATCCACTAGCTCTGGAAGGAAAAAGGAAAGGAAGAAAGGAAGGATGGGAGGAAGGAAAGAAGGAAGGTAGGGAGGAAGGTAGGTGGGTAAAAGGAAAGCCTAGAATCAACCAAGCTTCAAGTACAGTCTGATCCAGATATTCAACAACAATGCCACTGGAGAGTAGAGTGATCACAGACTCATGCTTCATGTAAATACTTTGGTGTCGAGATAATCTTTTTGTACACTGTGAATATGTGTCTCTGTCTTTCCTCACCTGCCTAAGACACCTGATTGGTTTAATAAAGAGCTGAACGGCCAAGAGCTAGGCAGAAGAGGCTAGGCAGGACTTACCGGGAGAGAGAGGAACTCTGGGAAAGAATCTGAGGCTCCAGAGATTTGCCAGCCAGACTCAGAGGAAGTCGGATGCATGGCACTGAGGAGAGGAGTCACGTGGCAAAACGTAACTTCATATAAATAGGTCAATTTAAGTTTGAAGAGTTAGTTGGGAACAAGCCTAAGCTAAGGGCAAGCTTTCATAATTAGTAAGAAGTCTCCATGTGGTTACTGGGAGCTGGCATCCAAAGACCTGCTACACTTCAGATTTGGTCTTGTACCATCACTAACAGTGACCGTCTTGCACTCCTACAGGCTTACTAGTGCAGGTGATAAACTCTACAGTAACCAACAATGTTAGTTAGCTTTTCCATCTCTGTCACAAGTGTCTGGGGAAAGCAACTTAAGAAAGATTGATTTGGGCTCAGTCCCTCCTGGCTGGGAGTGTGTGACAGCAGAGCAGGTCTGGGAGCAGAGGGGAAGCAGTGCCCACGCCAGGGAGTCTCCCCTTCCCCACCCCATTCCTTTCCAGCCCCAGGCCTGGGAGGAATTCTACCTGCTCTCCCCTCCTCTTAACTGATCTTCTCTAGAATCACCTCGCAGAATATCAAGGGGTATGCTTTGCTCATCGAGTTGACAGGCAACATTAACTATCACATTGGCCAACAAAGGTGGCTCAGCAGATACATGTTAAAGGCATTTGTTTCATAAACCTAACAACGTGAGTTCAATCCCTGAAACTTATGTAAAGATGGAAGGAGAGAACCAATTCCTACAAGTGTGTCCTCTGATGTGCGCACACACACACACACACACAAAGAATTAATGACTTGTAATCCTTAAGTGAAATTGATTGTTAAAGTATATTACCTAAGCAAAGTTTACACGTATCATCCCTGTAGTTAAATAAACAAACATAAAATTATTTTTTCTGAAAGTTATTGTAAGAAATATGTTTCAGAGCTGAATAATCCTTGCAAAGATAATAGAACTTGCTTGAAGTTAATCATTGGCATGTATTAAAATTTCTCTTTCCTGGAATCAATCCTTCAGTAAATGAAGAGATTCAATTGACCCCTCTTTATTTCCTAGTTATTTAGCCTGTTTTCTTTTACAGAATTTTCTTAACAAGTAGAAACCACTAGAATAAAGAACCATACAAATCAAATGTGCCGACAGGTCTTCCTGGGGCTGCTGACACTTCCAAAGCTCTATCATTCCGCTCCACAAATCAAACAAGGTA